GTTACAAAACCAAAGCTAGTTCACGCGTGCTACTACATATACAAAGTTGCTGCTGACAGAAACTTGTTTACAAACAAGAAACTGTTTCTTTTCGAGCAGTATAAACTTCTCATAGAGCGGCATGCGGCACACACCTCGCTAGCGGCTAGCTAGTGAGAGATTCAGAGAGCGTAAAACAAACTTGTAACTAGAAAGGCCAATATTTGCTTTGGAGCAAATACAGCGATGGCTTCACCACATTTTACGACATGGCAGGGAAAGAATGAGAGAAACACAAGGGAAAACAATGCTTTACATTGATATAACTATAATATGAAGTAACATACAACTAAGAACAACAGTTGGCTAGCTATTCCCTACATTATTGGTTAGGATTTTTAATTGCATAATGCAAACTGTTGATTTTCAAAAAAAAAACGTTCATGCCCCGCATTCCAATGCTGGAGCAGGAAAGCTTGAAATACCTACCAAAACACTTGAATACAGACATACTGTCAGTATGGAAATGGTCTGTGCAGGTGTTAATCAAGTTAAATCCCAACAGCCAATCAGCAAGAAATGCTCTGTGCAGGTGGAAATGGTCTGTGCAGGTGTTAATCAAGTTAAATCCCAACAGCCAATCAGCAAGAAGAAGAGAGGAAAGCTGCATGCCTATTGGTTGATGCCCTGCATTCCATTGTGATGACTCATGCCAAATGTGGTTAACACTGCCCACTGACACAGTAATACATTTGCTATAATACAGCCAAAAAACTCAAATAAAACCATTCTAAAAGCCTGTATCACAAAAATTTAAAAAACGCCTAAGGGTATTTGCCCACTGTACCTCCATACCAAATTTCAGATCCTTAGGCCCCAAAATGAAGAAGCTGAATCCATTTAAAGATATGGCAGGAGGAGAAGAAGAAGGAGGAGGAGAAACATCAGAAAAAGCAATATGGTTTCACCACACCACTTCGTGGTGTGGTGAAGCCATAACTAGCGTGTAACGAGTTATTTTCCTGTCACATAGACAACTGTACATCAGACAAGCTCTTGGTACGTACCTGAGTTGTATGTAGGATGAAATCCCGACGATCTGAACCGAAAAAGGCTCGTAGAAAGACGACGAGAAACCCTCGAAACTTTCTTCCACACCACGACACGTCTGGTGGACGGAGACACGGGGGTTAGCGGAATGAGCTCCGCGGAGATGGGATTCAATCATAATGAGGCGGCGGATGCGGTTTCTTGTTACACGTTGCTCCGCGGAGTTTACATTCTTGTGGCAGCTTGTGAAACTCCTCTGGCCAATTATATCCCATTTTGCGTTAGTTTTAGGCCGATTTCTACCATTTATTCAGCCTGCAAATGAGTCTGGTGGAGACTACGCACAACCCACTGTCCCGAAAGCGTTAGTTTTCCCAGTGTCAAGTACATGTATAGTACAAAAGTTGACGCGCACATTTAAGACTGTGACGACGATTACGCCTTTATCTTTGAAAAGATTAATCTAAATACATCTGAATAGCTTAGACAATAAGCTTACAAAGTGTTCTAAGTAGGAGCATAACATTTAGAACGTTACTATCTTATCTTATTGTGAACCATGTTCTGGAACATGCTTACGGTAACGTTGACGAGTTGCTATGGACGACGAAAGTGTTCTACGGCCAACAAAACGATCGAATTTTCGCTGGTCGGACGTACTCGCACGTTGCTGCCAGAAGATGCCGATCTTTTCTCGCTTTAAACGCGCCAAGACCGTGGACGACGTCATGGCAGAGATCCCTTGGTCCGGCGCCGTCATGAGGAGGCAGCGTCACCGAAGTGTGTGGACTTCCGTCACCAGTCTGACGTCCTTGGACGTAGATGAGACCCTGGCGGCGTGCAGCGACTGCTGGTTCTTCGAGGAGAAAGTCGAAGCCTGCGAACTTCAACTTGAAGACGTATCACTGACGGAAGACTTGATACAAGATCCGAAGACCTTGGTGGAGGGGAAGACGCCAAGTTCACCGGAGAACAACTCCATCGTGACCCAAGCTGAAGTTCACGTCGACGCTCCATCCAAAGTGGAGTTGTCATCACCCCTAAACGACTCCTTCTACCAGTCTCTGCACAAGTATCACGATCCGAAGAGTTGGGAGAAAGAGGAGGGCGGCTATGCTTACTCCTCTGACGAGGAAGAAGAGCCTGCGAACCCAGACGTCGCAGTCGCTGAAATCCACCACACCTATGACAGCGACGTCGTCGACGCCGACTCCATCGCGAAGCTCGATGTATATGAATCCTGGTGCAGGCAGACAGACGTGCCGATAGAAGAGATAGAAAGGAGAAGAAGGTTGATGAAGAACGGATGCGTCTACTGGGATCCTCTGGAGATCACGTTTGAGCGATCAGAAACGATCACGCTTCCAGATCTAGACCAGGAAGAGTCCGCACAGAAGACCAAGAAGCCAGGCGCGTGGAAGAAGTTCAAGCGTGGACTTGGCAAGGCGGGAAGACGCCTTCAGAAACTTTTCTGTGGTTGTCTGATGGAGGAAGAGTTTGATGACGCTGATTTGTACATCTTGGAGTTCAAGTCAAGGGGAATCGACGTGGTGGTCGTGTGAAGCGGAGGTGAAGCTCAACGTCAAAACACACAGTTGAACGACACAGATGACCAGTGCCCAAACAGAGATGTACACTTGAATCGGCCATGCCGATTTTACACGGTACATTATCAGCGCCCTGTGTAATATATTAGATACAGGGTCAGAGCGGAGCGCTCTTATAGTAGTTATACGTGTACTTGATGTACACTAAAATCTCTTATACATGTAGCTACTCGGATGTACACTAAAATCGGCCATGCTGATTTCGAACAGTACTAGTATGCTACATGATATGGCGAGAAAGAACACATGGCAAGTACACAGGTTCACTGTGTTAGGCCACGTCGATACTGTACAGTATGTAATAACAAGCGCAACATCGACGAATTTGTAAATATTTTGTGCATTTCAAGATTTTATATTTATTCGTGGGATCTGTAAATATGAAATATTTTATACAATATCTAATATTCAGTAACTAACCTTGAGAGACATGTGTGTCTTGTGTATTTTAACAACCTTTTTGATACGGCCTTTAAAAAGTGCAAAGACAACACATTGACATTTGTACTTGATAATAAAGCCTGTATTTCTACTGTGTATATTCTAGTGTCCCATTTTTCTCCTAAATACATTATTTTACTAGTATATACAGGCAGAAACTATTTGTTTAAAACAAGACTGATGCCCCCAACTGCAGTTCTACAGCCCGGTGTTGTAGAACGCCGTCCTCCCGTGTCCTCAGTTGACCTGTGTTCTATAAGAGATCATATTTCCAAGCAGCCTTTTTAAAAGGATGGGCACAACTCCTGGTGTTCTGACTCATCAAAAAACGGTATGTACGTGTCTTATGGCCGCACCTGGGGTCGTATTGAGGTCACCCGAGTTAGCGCCGAATGGCAGCCGCTCCAGACCCTTGCTATTAAGCCCCTATAATTGTAAGCTCCTCACAATTCAGCCCTTGGCTGCAAAGAGAGAGTAGCCGGCCCAACCAATACAAAACAACGAAAAGTCTCTGCGCACGAAGAATGTACCAACGTGGTGGAAGTTCGAATGTGGCGACGAATAACTAAGTGTAAGCGTAACGTGAATTGATACGAGGAATACTATTTATAGCATACACTTTTATTTCACACAACTAGAGCTAGAACTTAAAGCCAAGTGTCCAAATGTAGAAAATAACTTTATATCGTATAAGGTTACACAGGGCTCCGTTATGTCGAGCGTTCAATTCATTAAATCAAGAACAGGGTACTGAAAAATAGCAACGCTAAATCGCTATTAATACTCATCTAAATTAACGCATTGATAGTCCAATGTATTGTTCTTCATGCTGAATATTATTGATGGCAGAGACAATGAATGTCATCAATAGGACCATTAGCGGCATACATTCAGTTGACAGAAAAAACTACGGATTTCTACTATCTTGGCTGAGTGTTCCGACAAGCTTACTTTTTGTCCGTTCCCGTCTGTTGTTGTCTTAACATGAAGCTCGACAAGTTGTGTGGTTCCACTATGTTACGAAAATAGTCGAAGTACGCCATGCCATTTGTCCCAACATTCAGGACACGTGGAAAACAGTTCAGTAATTGTCATATCAAAATTCGTTGTTTCATCTTCACAAAATAAATGTTGTTTTCCCTTGGCATCTGAGTAAGGCCTGCTAGAGAAGACCGGCCGTCACTCTGAAACTTTGACAAGCTTTCACCCCCAAACATCTGCTTCAAGATTTGGACGGTGTGGCGACTACTATGAGGCAAGCCCGTTCTATCTGTTGTCCAGTTTCTGAGTACGATGCAACAAACTGCAGCAGCAATGCTTCCCATGCAGTGCTATTAACCCTTCAACGACAAATTCCAGATCCAGCCGACTTGCGCAACACAAATCCACCGTCCATTCTGCATGGCTGTTTTTGCTCCCTATTCGAAAGATACGTCCCAAAGTTGCAGTCGCGGTGCTCCAGGACTCATCAAGCGGGGGAGTTGGAAAGTTTTTCATACCTCTGACTAGCCGAAGGCCACATCGCAGACCAAACCTGATCGGCAAACCGGTACATTTCTTCTGTGAGAACCTCGAAGATATCGTACAGCAAGGAGCCGACGGCAGCTACGGCGGTGGGGCGATCACCCGACACGCCTGGGCCGCGGGGAAGCGGTGGGTCACTCTGCTGCAGGCTCATGTCATGATCAGAATTCGAAGAGCCAAAAGTCGACCTCAAACTCAAAATGCCCGACCTCAAAATGCCCGACGATCGCGACTTTCTCGAGAATTTCCTGCTCGTTCTTCTTCTGCCCATGGTGCTGGAAACTGCGATATCACGCCAGAAGATGTTGGTAGGAATCGTTACTCAAGCAACTGGATAGACATTGAAAACTGTCAGACGTTTCAAGTAGCATCAGCTACAATTGTACTTTTCGTCTGTTTCTAGGCAGACGGTGTCTGCACGTATGCAAATGAATCGTCGGACCAGTTCTGCCGGATCTGTCTTGGGTCCATGGCATGCATGTAGGTCAGACAACTCTCTTCTTTGAAGACAAAATTCTCTGAGTGAACGCAACCAACATCTGAAAATGACTAAAAAATTACTATCCTGAACCGAACACTGTGACAGTCTTCTTTCAATTCCAGACTACAAATGGAAATAACAACTGTTTATTCATGATTTCATCCAAGGAGCAACATAATCATACAAACCGACCATCTTACACATGGACACATATCTTTTTCATTCTTTCCCTTTTTTTCACATGCTTGTCACTCCAGGAAAGAAACACCTTTATATCCAAGGCACTTTCAGTGTAATTGAATGTAATAAGCTACCTTAATAGACGAGTGTTGTTATTGCAAACTTGCAGGGAACAACAAACCCATAGAACCCCACAATCTCCTTCATGCACAATACCCTTACACTGCACATTCCATATTTTACAATATCTTTTTTTTCTCAGCAATACAAAATGCTGTCTTTACTAGAATGTTCATTGGATTTGCTAACTTGCGTACAATATTTATGTAGACATAATATGCTGTTTCTAGATTTTAAACGAAAGAAAAAAAGCCTGGAAAACTAAATTTTTAATACTACCTTGTCTGCTGTTTTCTATTTTGTCTGTTAAGAATAATGAGTGTAACAAAGTGCTATATTACGATGTACTAAGTTGTCTGCAAAGCTGGTATGTTAAACTGATAAGAGTTATCCTGATTAACCAATTCAAGAACACTACATCCATGTTCTTGTTTTATTAGGTACAAGTACCCATTATTGAAAGCCTGATCCTAGTCTAAACCTCACCAGAAAACAGTGCCAGACTTATTCTTTACTTTGCTGCAACAACACCACTTTTCTTTTCCACATATTTACTCTTTTTCAGACTCATATTCAACAATCTTATATCAGACAATACGTTTAACTCTAAAATAGCAAAATCTCTTCCAGGATAGCATTGTACAAAATCCAAAGCTGTGCAAAAATTTGGTGAGCTGAGGGCATTGCATTGCACTTTGCTTTTTTGCTGTTGTAGCAACTTGGCAAGTATATAATATTCAATCATTTTCAATCTACCCAACTACAACTATACATTACATTGTATATAGAATTATGTAATTACATGTACTTGATTAATATACATCATCACAATTGGTAAATCAACACCATTTATACTACTGTAACAGTGATTGTCAAAAAAACTATAGAACACAAGGGAAAACAATGCTT